CGCATCTGCACAAAATATTTCAATCCCAATATGCTAGTGTATATTTTGAGTGTTAACATTGCCTCCACCCTTATTAGCATGTCGCCAGGGCTTTTTTAACAAGGAAGGTGGATTCATATGAACATAGAACTTAAATTACGTGAACTTATGTTATTTTTATATTTTTTGTAGTTTATTAAATAAATTAGAAAAATGATCTTCCTTTCAACTGCCTGAGCAGATTACATATGCGCTAATATTCATCTTGTTCCAATAATTATTAATTGGACAAGGTGAAAGAGATAAGAGACATATTTTGCATGCAGGAACAATAAAATAACAACGCATAAGAAATAGACACTTAAACGTATATACTAAAACCTCACTTGCAACATTGAACATTAAAAATGAAGTACCTTCGTGTATTTGTATCGTATTACTCCTCTAATGCAATTCTTCAATACGATATTCGGTGAATTATATTCGATACGAACTCGTATACTACGTGACTTTGAACAAGCCTATTTATGATAATTGCTTTATGCTTATTAATATTACATAATTGCTTTATATAGGATTGCATATTTGTACCTAACTAAAACCAAAGTTGGTTAATCTGGTGCAACAATGTAATTCCTGTCGAGGTATTACATTTTAGAGAACTCATTTCTGCCAGTTGTCTAACTATATATCATCAGACAACTTTGTATAGTCAAAAGTTATTGAGCAAGGGACAGTCAGAAAGTGATGTCTCCTATTTTTTCTACTTAAAATTAGTTAAGTGAAAAATTTCAATATTTATCACTTTTCTTCAAACTTTCTTTTACAATAAACCGCAATAGTAACTTTCTCCGTCAACATGTGATAGCACAGCAGTTGTTTAAAAAATTGTCGACATTGATGTTCATTAGAGACAGTGTTGGGTGATTGAATCCTTGAATGCAGAAGATGAAATTACTACTTGCATTCAGCATGTGACAGATGAATTTTGTCGCATTATCTTCCTCACTTCGCCTGCACTCACCCCGCAGTCACCACGAATGATGACATCGACTTCCTGAATGTTCCGTGGAGTGACAGCAGTCTCGACCTGCCTCTCCGCTTTTCGTCAGCCAACGGAGTTTGCCCTTCTGCTTCGTTACAGAAAGGAACCCATCGTTTAACAGTGCTGGCATCCACTGCTGCATCACCGTACACATCTTTCAGCCTTTGCTGAATGCAAATGGTCATTCTCCTTCTATACGGTAACACGTATTTTCGGAACTAAGTAGTTTTTGCGCTCGGAATCAATATTCTGGCATTCGCTTAGGTGTAACATACGATTTTTAAAAGGGTAGATACGACCACATCATTCATAAAATGTATGTTTGAACCTCACAGAAGGCATAAAATGTGGTTTTGTTTATTGGCTGGTTATTCGTTGATTTATTTACTGATAATATTTGATTGACTGAGTAAGTAAATTGAATGAATTGTTAATTCGTTGATTTACTTTTCAATTCATCAATTGATTGATCATTCTATTCATTAGACAATCGAATAATCAATTAATTACTTGAATGATTGTATGATTGGCCCACACCCAGGCTGACTCCGCGGCCGGAGACTCGCCGCGACGCGCTCAACTTCCTGATCGGGCTGCCGCGCGAGCTGCACGCCACCTACAGCAGCCTCGACCCCGCGCGCATCGAGGCGGAACGCCAGCGCAAGAAGGTGAGGAGGAGAGAGACAGACAGACAGACACTGACAGACACAGAGAGAGTCAGACACAGACTCAGACACTTACAGACACAGAGAGAGAGAGTCAGACAGACAGATACAGATAGACACAGAAACAGTCACAGGCAGAGAGACACAGAGAAACAGAGAGAGAAAACGAAGGGCAGAAATAGATACCGATAGAAATATTCAAGGAACGGGAGAAGCAATTGTCAAAAGAAAGAAATAGAGAAACAGGGATGGAATAACAGAGAGAAAGAGAAGAGAAAGATAACCCCAAATATAGGAAAACAGAAAGAGAAGATAAACTGTAAGAGAAACTGAAAGATACACATTACACAAACACGCACGCACACACACACACAGAGATAGAAAAACAGAAGGAGACAGAAAAACATAGAGAAGGCTGAGAGACAGAGACACAAAAGAGGCAGAAAGGGTCAGAGAAGCAGATGATCAGGGAGATAGACTGAAAGAATGAGACTCAGTGAATGAGTTAGGGACAAAATATAAAGAAAAAGACAGAAAATCCGTGATTGAAGGGCAAGGAGAGAGAAATAGATAGAAAGAGAGACATACACAAACATAGATGAACAGAAGGAGACACGGAAACTTGGATATAGGTAAGGAAAAAGAGCGAGAGAGAGAAGCAGAAAGTGTCAAAAAAACTAGATAGAAAAAGGCACACAGAGAAGGACTGAAAAGAAAACAGAGGCACTTGGGGAAGGGCAGGGAGAAAGAAACTGAAAAGTAAATAGAGAAACTTTAGGCTAAAATGCGTCATACCGTAGCAGCATAGCGTTTCAGCGACGCCGCTTGGTATTTTCAAAGTTGTAATTCTTTTACGTAACGTTTAGTATTCCAGGAGTTCTAATCACCTTTTGCCTCTGCATTATTCCAGAATATGTATCATTCAAAAAGTTTATTCAGAATCTGTATCATTCAAAGGTTAATTATCATATTACCAAAATATATTTGATTCAGTGTATGAAAATTGGTCGCAATAGTTATGTAAAGATTGTCTCTTCGCTACCATCAACTTGGGCGTTCACTTAGAAAAATAGAAAATAATTTAAGTTACAATGTCTTTGCTTTAACCAAGAGAAAATATTCTTGCTCTAAGGGTTGAGTCTCATCACAATATTAATGTTTCCCAATTGAATTTCTGTTCTGTAATTGATTTTCTGTTTTTAAGTTTTATCAATCTATGCATTTATAAATAACAAAAACATTCGTTTACACTTTCTCTAACTATTTTATAAGAAAGTTAATGAATGACGAAAACAGAGGAAATTAATTGGTAATTAATTAGAAAAAGTCACCTGATGTTGGTTTCTGTATATCAAGGCTCGTTGCCATTTACGTGTGTATTGCTCCTTTCATCGTGATGATGGTGAGTGCCATTATCAATTCTGAACATTGGAAAGGAAAGAATCTTAACAGCCTTCGTTCTATTGGCAGATGGCCTTAGTGATGCTTTGCCGTTACGTTCCACACTTTCACCAATACAGAATAAAAGTGAATCTGGAAACACATCAACGCTGTATAGGCAACCGTCTATTAACAATACAGTAGTGTGTGTAGGGTTGCATATCTAGACCCCTGATTAATGTCAGTGATGTTTCACGTTTGACACCAATTCCTTTGCGGCAACTCACGACATTCAAAAACTCCAACTGTCACCACCGTGCTTACCTAGTGAAAAAACAAAAACAGCGGAAGTACATTAACATATTGAAGCTCTAAGCCACGCTCTAAGAGAAGAATTGCTTCATGGAAATATCGTTGTTTTTGCACCGGCCGCGAGTTTTAGTGCCTCAATTCTCATTTACCAGGCGTTTCAGAAGGCACCATTTCATTAGCCCCATTTTACATAACATACCTCTGAGCAGTGACGTAACGTTATGGCCCGCAATGCGGGTGGGCTCAGGTCAAAGAGGACTTATTTTTAGGGGATATTTTTATTATTTAAGGAACTAACACTGAGTTCGCTATACACTTTTATAAAGGGGGGACTCATAAACGTTTTCTGGACGGGCCCGCACTCGTTTCGTTACGCTACTGCCTCTGGGCGATACTTCGTGTTAAGTATTATCTCTACTCCTGAATATAACTTGAAGATTGAGAGCGTAAGCACCCGCCGCTGGAGTCAGTAATTTACTGGCTGTCCGGAAGACGCCGCGTCCGAGGCACAGGTGCCAACGTTTCGGCCGCCATTCTGGGACCTTCCTCAGCATTTCGCCCTGAGAAAGGTCTCAAAAAGGCGGCCGAAACGATGGCACCTGTGCCTAGGACGCGGCGTCTCCGGCAGTTATTTAACTTGCGGATTGTAACGAAAACTAGCTGGACCTGTGCGAACTGTCTGCACTTCGCAAATCATTGAAGTTAAACTGAAAATTGCTTAATAATCTATTCGATCGGCCAGATCCTGTACTCTGCGTTAGGCCATTATATGTGAGACATACCATGTCAGTGTTGTTGGTTGTTGTTTTTTTTTAGCTTATTATTTATATGCGGTAAAACAGACGAGTCGATTGTTAATCCTCACTGTAAATGGTTTAAGGAAAGTATAAATAATGAAATAAAAGTTTTATTGTGATAAAAATATATTACGAAACGCGTTAAATCAGTAGTTTCGTAAAAAAATATTATTTTCAAACTTTAAATAGGTAGTCAATCACAATTACGATTTAAACAATAAAGACAGATAAAAAACGAGGAGAATCTTAAGAAGAAAAAAGGAGGAGAAAAGCTTTTGAGAGGGGATTTTTGTGACGAGAAAGCTGGTAAGACGTAATTTAATTTATAATAATTATAACTTTAATATGTAACCTAATAAAATTAATACAAATTTTGTTCATTGCTATAAAATTTATTTTTACTTTTTGTAAATGGCAGGGGAAGTCGTAAGCAAGCGTTACGTAAGTATTTAAGGATGTTCAGTGGGGGAGGGTATTCAAAATGTTCTATATTTACTTTACGTAATTGAATCGTTTATTTCAGAAACCCTTCATACACCACATTCATTTCCAGAAAACTGAAAAAATTATCCCAATTTTTCAAATTTCAAAATATTTTTACGTTGATAAATGAATAATGTTCAAATAAATACGCACTAAACGATGTGACTACCCTCTTGGAACAATAATCCGTCGCTAATGCAAGTTTTAGGTTTTGGCGTTTGACGGGTTTCAAAGCAAACGATTCAATTTACGAACGGCCGCTTTGCTGGGGCGCATGCGCAGAGCGAGGCGCGCTGGCGGCGGCGCCTGGAGCAACAGCAGCAGCGCTTCGACCGCGCGATGCGCCGCGCGCGCGCTCTGGTGGCGGCGCACGAAAGCGTGCCCAAGCCGCCGTTCGTGCCCGAGCACAACGCGCTGACGTTCGCTCGCGGCCTGCCCACCGTGCGCCTCAACCTCGTCATGCCGCCCATCCCGTGCAAGTGAATGTAACAAGCGAACGAATAAAACGACGACGTTAACTGGCTGAGGTTGTAGCTTTTTTAATTATTTTTTTATTGATTGATTGATTATAGTGTTTCCGTGCGCGTCAACTGTAAGGCTAATTTTTTTAACTGTGCACCTGAGCCCCGTCTTCACGTTGGCACTATGTCACTGCATTTCGCGGCTTTCTCGGTCGTGCCGCTAGTCATGTCTATGTCACGGCCGTATCAAGTAGTGGTTGATACAGTCGCGATCGTGCGACATCTAACGGCACGACAAAGAAAGATTCGAAATGCAGTGATAATGCAAATGTGAGGACGGGGATCAGGTGCACAGTTTAAAATAGTACATGTTTTATCGAAGAATGTGATGGTGATCTTTCCCTGCTGGATGGCGAGATCCGACGCCGACATACATGTCGGCTTGTGGAGGGGGGAGTTTCCAAACTTAGTATCTTCCACCGCCCCAACCAGACAAACTCCCAACCGGTCGCCCGACATATGGGGTAGTGTAGTGCGAGTAAATGTAGTGTAATGTGAGTGTAAGTAAAGGGTGAGGAATGAGTAAGGAATTGAGGAAGGATAGAACGCGCGTGGCCCGTGGCCCATTTGAGGGAAATACTCCGGCATTCGTCTGGCGTCGATAGGAGAAACCACGGAAAACTACCGATCAGAGCAGCCGGACGTTTAAATTCTGCAGACAGCGGCTGAATTATTCCAATGTAGCTTGTATCCAAAATATTTCCACCGTTGGGACTCGAATCCTAGGACCTTCCACTCAGAAGCTCTTCTTTATCATCAGTTAATGCCCTAAACTACCTAAGCCGGTCTGACGGTGTTGATTGCTCTGAAAATACGTCATTAGAGTGTAAAGGCCCATTCACGATGCAAAAGTGAACTTAAGCATAACGCATAGATGTAAACATTATCATAAGTGATAGACTGAAGTATTCACAATGTCTAACACAAACGTAAGCAAAATAAGAGTTTCTATTTACTCTAGTTTACTATTGGTTGGATGTGAGAATCGATTTCGATGTATCGTCCGTGTACATGGCCCATATGGCGTTAGTTCGTCTATCGACTTCGCTCCTCTTTCGATTCTCGATTTTCAGTTAACGTACTGTGATTGGTTCATTTCTTATATCTTACTTCAGCATAAGCACAGAAGCTTGAAGCTTGCAAGCCTATAAGGGAACGTCTTACGTGTTATGCTTATGCGAACGCATTGAGAATGAGTCCGCTTATGGACGTAGTTCCAACTTTTATGTTAACGTCAGGCTTATGTTTATGTTTGCATTGTGAAAGAGCCATAAGTGCCACTGTCACAATAGAGCCGATCTTGACCGAAATTTCGTTCGGCCGACATCAGACGTTTGCGTCCATTATGCCCGTTCCTTTCATGCGAATTCGTTCAAACATATGCCAGTTCAAACATGTGCACATTGGCATAATTAACTCGAACGATCCCTCTCGACGGCTTCCTGAAACATCGGCTTTCGGTTCCATTCAACAAGCTAGAATATATACATAGAGAGGCTGAAGTGCCTCCATCTTTGAGCAAATTGACGCAATCGCAAATTGACCGTCTTGAAGCAAATTGAAGCCTTTTTTTTTCAGTTAAAGCAGCGCCCTCTGGGAAACAAAGAATTCTAGCATTACGTTTGGTGCTGGTTACGGACGGGTGGGCGCGGGCCACACATAATATAAATCCTCTTATTGTGTGTTCTCACGATCAAAAACCAATCATTTAAAAACGGAATGACGATGTCAGGAGAACGAATTGAGAAACTTTAAATACATGTTGCTTCCTGCATCGATTGTCATAAAAATGAAAGTTATTGAAATGTTATTGTAGTTAGCATAGAGCCTAAAAGTGAATGTTATTTCAATACTGTTATTTAAATGCGTTAAACGAAAAACAATAAAGAAATGAGTTGTGATATGAATAAAACAATGTCTATTCAGTATAGCAATTGAATACACCGCCACTCGTACGATTTGACTTCAAAAAACATGGCGGCCACTAGTTCGGCGAGCCTCCACCAAGAGCGCTGAAACCATAGGGACAGCCTCTCCATATAGTAATTCTAGCTCGTTGGTTCCATTCGCCCGAAACGAAACCTGCTGGGGAGTCAATGCCATCTTTAATACATGTAGATAGTCTTAAGCGTGCTTCTCGCAAGTGTTTCAAACAATTTCGTTTTGCCGACAGCAGACGTTTGCGTCCGTTATGTCCGTTCCTTTCATGCGAATTCGTTCAAACATGTGCACATTGGCATAATTAACTCGAACGATCTCTCTCGACGGCTTCCGGATCGGCTGCCGGATCCATTTTGTTTCATTTTGTCGGTTCCATTCAACAAGCTATAAAAATTGTAGAAATACTCGGACGATTTCGGGCGCAACAATCGGATGAAGTCGAACGACTTTGCTCGCAGTCCCCCGATAGCGAACGACCGATATTTCATCTGCATTGTGACCGTCGCCCAAACCGGTGACCGGCGGTCACAATCCAGTCAATTTTGGCAGAAATTTCGGCCGGCCGACGTCGGACGTTTTCGGGCGAAGTGCCGGATTCGTTCTAACATTTTCTGGTAAACGGAAATGGTCATATTGAAACCAACCTGATATCTCCCATCAGCAAATCACCGCGCCTTGGGGCTCTTCATACCAAAAAGTGTTTGTTGTTGTTGTTGTGTTTTTCACGACGTTCGTCCGTCTGTCCACAATATTATTTTGTAAACTATTCGTATGACTTGTCCTAAAATGAATATTTCCCTAGATGGCGTTGCATCACAAGATGACGCTTCATTTAAATGCAATTCCCAGCAAATCTGAACTACTTCATTGTTTGAGCATCTCCGTGTGATGTTCAAGGCAGAGAAAGACAGGAGGAGCGGGTGGCACAAGAATAAGGAAAGGGGCATGGGAAAAGGGAGGACAAAAGACAGAGATAGAAAAGGGGGGAAAGAAAGATGGGACGAAGAGAGGAGGGGGAATTAGTAAACTCTTTAATATGAAAAAGAACAAGATAGCTCCTTACGCAAATAACAAACGCACTTCCACTATTATTTCTTGTGTGACAGCAACATACCAAATACCAGCTAGTACACTTATTAATGACTAATTTAAAAACAAAATTTTCTCTTCAATTTTTTTCTTTAAACTCTGTTGTACAGAGCTACAAAACTTCGGGCCTGGAGTAATGCTGAAATATAGCCCACCCTCCTGAGAAAAAAAATGTGAAAGTTGTGTCAAGAAAGTTTACAACGGTTTTGCTATAAAAAGTGTTTCAAAACATATTTTAAATAATAGTTTGAAGTGAAAGCATTTAGTGATCAAATAATACAAACTTTCCACAGTGAACTTATAATGCTAAAAAATGTTGTTGTGATTAGTTAGTGTTTAATAAAATTACTTGTTATTAAGTACATGAAATAATAAATATAAATTTCTGTAGAACCTATTTTAATGGTAACGTCATTGTATTCATTTCATAGAGTCTGACCTTATAAGTAATGACTATAATTAACTATTTAAGATTAAAAAAAATAATGGAAACTTTTATGAAATATCCGACTACTCAACCACAACTTACAAAATTGCGTTCACAATTTTCTCGGGTTGTAATTTCTATTTCAATTTTTTACTATTTATTTCTCATTAGTCCCATCACTAGGTCCCTTGACTTGTGAGGCCTAGGCGACTACCTGGTCTGTGCCCAGTGCCAGCACTACTGAATGTGCACAGAATAACATGATATCAACACCATTTCACTGTACTTTGATTTATAAAAAAGTGCACAAATGTATTTTTTTTTATCTCTCACATTGTTAATATTTACATTACAGTTGTTTCTTAGACATTATTGTATTTGTGAAACATGAGCTTCAAAAATGTTCTGACAATGTGTCTCATAAAATTCAAACTTTTTTGTAAAAATGTGCTTAAATTTGCATTTCATAAATGTTCAAACAAATTTTTTCTCAAAAAAGACTGTAATTAGTTTTCTTTCACTTTTGGGTAGAGCTAAATGCACTGAATAGCATAACATAATGGAATTTTGCAGCTTTTTTTTTTTTACCATTACACAAATTTTTACTTTCTTTTGCAAAGAACTATTCGAAAGGAATTTGACAAAATGAATACAATCTGGTCAATTTGCTCTGACTTAAAGCCCTTGGGCTATTTTCCAAGAAATGGCTCCAATTTTTTCTTTATTTCACAAATGAATGGAGGAAAATACACTTATAAAGATGACGTAAGTCCAAATTTCATTGTTAACTCTGAATTTTTTTTAAATTGCAAAACTCTGAGTTTTTTTCTGTTTTCCTAGACCTACATAAATGAAGATACATATTTTTTCTTCAAATGAAATATTTTCTACCCAATTTTTTCTTCAATTTATGTTTTTTGAAGTGTTTGTGCAATTTTGAGTAAAATATTGGTATTATTAAAAACAAAATATTCGAAGAAACAACTCCAAGTCATTATGGATACTGATAATTGCTCTGAATAAAGAGACATAATAAATAGCATTTTGATGTATTCTTTTATTTTTTCAAAAATTATACAAATCTATTTTTTAATATCAATCAAGTCATTAATGCTTACATAATGTACCATTTTCTTATATATTATTGCAATTGCAAGTAGAAGTGCTTCAAATGATTTCTTAGTTTGTCAAAAACTCAAAAGTTTGCTTTGCAAATGAACTCGAATTTGTCCAATTAAAGTAACACTTAAAAAGACATTTCTTCTAAATTGGCTCCAAAATTTGCAATGAAAATTTGCATGTAGGATTAAGTTTTACTCTTCAATATTATTCTTAAATTTATATTTCTACTCCACTATTAAGGGCGTAATAAACTGAGAAAATGTTAAAAGAAATTTTTTTAAATGCCATTGATCGCAGCTGGAAAGAGGGTGGGACAAAACCAAAGAGCTAATACAGATGCAAGATAATAGGAAACAACTTGTATGAGAAAGTCTGAGCCATTCTCTGACAACATAATTTTGATATTTCTCTCACACAATGGTCTTTAATATTTATTAATAATATGGGCATTTTTAATTAATTTTTTTTCAACTTAAGAATCATTCAATACATCGGATTATAAAGTTTCCCAAAAACTGAAGTTTTCTGTGAAAAATAGCTCAAAATTTTCAGAAAAGCTAATATGACATTTTTTGAAAAACATTGGAATGATACTAATTGTTTGATAAGAAACTTTTTTATTTCATGAAATATTTGCTCTTTATACTTTCTGAGATTAAATAAACTGAAATCCTTCACAAAATAATTATGAAATATTTAAAATTCAGTTCTTGTATTTCTTTATTTTTTGACTAATGAAACAATATAATCCTAAAATAAATATATAGAAATGAAGTGAATTAACATATTGTTGTGCTATGTGAACATGAAAAATTAACTAAATTAATAATATCAGCACCTACTCATCATTGATTTCCACTTGAGTCTGTGGCTATATTAAAACTTTCTAGTAGAAATGGAGATATTCATGTGGGATGTATTTTACTATCTTTTGAACAGTGGATATTTTCTTTTCGTTGATTGGAAGAACAACTTTCTTGAAGGGCAAACTTGGATGTGCCTTCCCTTTTGCTAACGGGAATTAGTTCTTGATATGCCCATCAATTTATGTGCTCACATGCCACAAGGTAACCAAAGTATTCTCTATCATACATTAGATACTGTACTCAGAGAAAGTCATACCAGGCTCACAATGAAGATTTCAAGGGCGAGCAAGAGACTTGGATGTCTTCAACCAGCACAACTGATATGACTTCCTCAGTGTATATTACTGTTGTCATGAAGAATTTAGGAGTTTCTTAGTTGATAATGCTAGTTCTTCTGTGTGAGGATCAGTAACTTTTCGTGGACGTCTTTCTCTTTTTCAGGCATTAGAATTTTTAGTTGGCAATAGAACACATACTTTAAGCTCGACCAGTTTCATTTTAACACTGATTTATAGCTTGAAGAAAAGCAAAGAAATGTATGTACCAACTCTTTTTATGGAAAAAATGGACTTAATTATCATTTAAAATCACTGATTCAATTGAATGCATATAAAATAAATAAAAATGATTTTAATTGAAAATTCCAAAATTAATAGTAACGGTACGAAACAGATTTTATTAAAGTTAATTTAATAACACAGGATGAAACCACAAAAATATGGCCAAAAACAAATAGACTAACTTAAAAAGTAATATCTAATGATATACTATATCTGCAGCTTTTCATAAAACATGGACTTCTTTTGCAAAGTACACTGTCCAGACAATTTCAAAGGTGTTGTTCTTTAATAATGTAAGAGTAGAATTGAGTTTGCTCAATTCTGAATTAATAGTATCTTCATGGTATGAGCTCCACTTGAGTTTGGATTGGAGTGAAATTTTATAATCTGTGCTTGTGTGATGCTGTTGGTTTCTAATGTAAAATTTGATGAGCTGGAGTTATGGAAGGGCACTGTGATTGTTTTGTTTACTTTTATGATTTCTTTAAGTGGATCCATTGAATTATTTTGTCAATGGCTGGGTTGGCTGTGTCTTGAAGGGCTTTGGTTATTTTTCATTTGAATATTATATTAGTGTCATCAGATAGCACTGTTTTAATGCTTTCCATTATTTTTGGGAGGTTGAGTACAAGTTCAAGAAATAGAGTAGAGCTCAAGATGGATCCATGCAAGACTTGGTCACAACTTTTGGTTTACAATGATTATATTTTACTTTATGGTTATGATATATTTGATTTTTGAATGGGTGTTTAATGCAACAAAACTCATTACTGATCTTCCACAAAACAAAATAATCTAGGAAATGATTTGCAGACAGTATATAACATCAAAACTTTACTTCATAAACATGTTTTGCACGATTGTGATTGGAAAAACTTTTAATATTGATTCCACCTAAATGTCTATAATGAATATTTTCTACTGCTCTGCCAAAAAAAATATAATATTCTTATTGTAAGATGATAATTAAGTAACTATATAATGAACAAAATAATCATGTTAAAACTTTCAGTGGGATTACGTATTTTGATTGATTGTAAACAACTAAAGCAAAATTGAAATCAATACCGGTCGGCGGCCATAATATATTTGAATATCGCTCTCACTTATACTCTCGCGTTCACTACGCAAAGTACGATGGGAATAAAGTCATGTGACGCGCACTGTCCAATAATATTTCTCAGATAACCAATTCCTAGAAGATGGTCACATATTCCTAAAATACTCTCGGATGTAAAGAGGATACCTGCTGCGCGTAAAAGTAAGTATGATGTTATAGCTGCGTAATTTTGCAAAGCTTTTGTTACATTTCGATATTTCTGTACGCGAACATGCGAAGTATTTTGTATTCATGTCTTTAAGGTATTTATTGACTAAGTATCAAGGATCACCAGTCGGTGGGCGTTGCTCTTGAGGTGTGCTATTCTGTCATATTGATGGGCGAGGTAGTTGGGATTGTCTTTCGATTTACGTAGCAAGGATCCAAAACATAGAAAAGGTGCGCTTATTGAGCGATTTTCTTTACCTTTCGTGTTCAGAATTATTCTTTGAGCCATTTATAATCTAGAAGAGTCATCGTGCCGATACATTATACGTATTTTGCGGGCCAGATCAATATTTATTGGTGAGACAGAGATTAGCATTACGTTTTACATCGCTGAATTATTTTATAATATAAATAATTGAATTTGTGGTTGTGTATCGATGTTATTTTTGGACACGCATGGAAGACATTTCACATAACTTAACGCCTACGCATATTTTACGCTAGTATTTTTTTATGATCCTGTCGAGCCAAGGAATTTTCTCATTACGAAACTTCTGAATAATACTGCAGTATCTGCAAAACATTTTTCGTAACAATATTTTCGATGGTAATTTATCTTATTCCGTAAGCGTTTATTTTTATTTTCTTGGTCATGTCATACTACCGGCCAAAGAATCGCCCAACATAGGTAGTGACTAATCACCTAGTGAAAGTGATCCGCAAAGCATTAAAATGTGCATTTTTTAACCTATTTATTTCAACTATAAAAACTCTTGCCAAAAGATTCTAAAAATAATTAATAATTAGCAAGAACTCAGAGCAAGGTTAATGACATTATATTTTTTTCTTTATCTTTTCAACATTAACACACATTTATCCCAGTTTCAAATCAGAAATGAACATATTAAATCAATTTATGTTTTGAGCAGAGAGAAAACATTGATCTATACCAGACCTTTTTTGTGATTGAATTATTAAGAAGGCATGTACCACACTTTCATTATTATTTCATAAGTGTTATAAAAGTTCATAAACCAATTGTTTTGCAGATTCAGATGCTTGTTTGTTGATGGTTTAGCTGTTATGGAGCATGAAACTTCAGGAAACTCTTCTCTTCATATCAGTGATGTCAGTAAGTATTCTCACAAACTATGTCACCAATTCTTGGCTAGTGTTTCATATTTTCAAGACTTAGTAAAATTTGTTTTTCAGTTGCTCAAGGAATGATTGTATATAAAGTTTCACATTTGGAGACACTTTAAATATTTGTCTGAAATGAGTTATTTCAAAGCATAAGTTTCATTAATGTGATTTTTTTTATCAGAAATGTATTAATTGTACCAATGTTGAGAAATTTTCACTTTCCATTTCATACAAACTTTCTTTTGAAAGTAATACATAAAAAAAAATAATAAAACAAATGTTAACTACAAAAACTGTAATCAAGAGAGAAGGGCAATGAAAATGAAACTGGCCAGTAAAATGCAAAAAAATTAATATTATCTTTAATCTGTTTAGTCAAGATTCACAAGTATTAGGTGATGAAGTCAGTATTTGAAAATCTTACAAAATATAATGCTTTATCTCCTGATGTAGTGGCTTGTATAAACTTTCACACAAAATAGCCCCTCTGTCATTTATTCAGAAGAGTATATAATTCAGTAACTTAAAAAATTGGTGATAAAAATTGCAATAAGATGGTTCCAGATAGTCCCAACAATAGTCCTGTGCACCAATGCAGAAGATAAATGACTACCCACTGTAGCGAGCTTAATTAGTTTAAATGGTAGTAAGAATTGTTTTATAGAAGTTGGTTGCAGTTTTGTATCATATTCATTTTGAGTATGTATTTCATTTGGCATTTGACAAAATGTTCTAAAATAATACAAACTGTATGTCAGGATGACAACAAATATTAGGTCATGTACTGTTGCACTTATTCATGTTTGGTCATTGATACTATTTTTTTCTTCATTCAAAATGTTTTGTTTTTTCTTCCATTAATAGTTGGGTTAATGGTAATGGCAACTTGTTTCAGTTGAAGTGATCCAGACTACTGATCCAGATTTTGCAGATGATGAATACAATCCCCTTTTTTCTGTTGCTTCCCCACCCGGGGAAGATGAGAAGCAGCATGCATATGTTGAAATCACCGAGCAGCCTGCAGCAAAGGCGCTGAGGTTTCGGTACGAGTGTGAAGGCCGTTCTGCTGGCTCCATTCCAGGAGCCAGTAGTACTCCAGATAACAAGACTTATCCAGCCATTCGGGTGTGTCTATGAATAATTCACTTTAAATTAATTAATAAACAAGTAAATGCATTAATGAATTATTAGAAATCTGGCTTAACCCAACCAAAACTTCAGTTAAAGTAGGGTACACGGTGCACCCTTCACCCTTTGAGAAGCTTGACGGCGAGGAGAGAGGGGGAAGTGGAGGAGGGGTCTCCTCTAGCCCTCCCTCAAATTAAATTAAGCCCTCTGACAGAAATGAATAAAACTTATCAATAGGTGATTTTTATGGTGGTTTGACAGACTGTTTTATTACTCATAGATAAGTCATAACTAATACCTGAATCATACTCAACTTGCTTCCCGCAAACCATGACCCCTTTCGCAGGAAACTCTTACACACATGAGGAGTGGCCCCTTTCTTGCTACTCTTCCGTTCGAAACCATCGCACAACTTGTTTGGCTTGGTCAATCTCATAGGACACTTACACACAGCACACTTAAATCCTGCAGCAATCAAACTATGTTCTTGCACCCATTCTCTGACAGCCAAACACTGCCTTCAGCGCGACATGCAAAAAAAGCCACATTTATTCTCACCATTATAGCACAGACACCTCACACTCAAAAACACAAATAATAAAGAATTTCAAGAACGCAAGAAATCTAACTGTACAACAGCAACATAGTTAACCACTTCAACAGCTCCCAACACAGAAAATCATGGAGGCAAAAACACGAATATAATAAGTTGTTCATATTACGTTACAATATTTATATTCCTTGAACTGCGTCCGTGTCAAAACGTATTCTTCTGTTATTCCTAAAAGAAGTTAAATACGATCAGATGATAAGAATATTCATTATTATCCTAGCACACTTTAAGGTGACATGTGAAATTATATCATTCAATTATAATTTTAACATTAAGCCCTTACAGTTTATATTGCGAAAAAAACCTGAGTTATGAAGGAAACATCATTTGTCACAATAAATGTGAAGAAGGTAATTTATCTCTGTGAGAATTGTTTTAGAAAGGGTACCTTCATTTCCCTATTTTTTTGCTCTTTGATGTTATCCTCTTAAATGAAATGCCGAAGGTACAAAAAGGAAAGGGAGGATGAAATCACATATTTTAGGGGCATATTTTTCTTATAATTATTATAAGTTTGCTTGTTGTTTTATTTATGGAGCATATTTCCTTCAGATAGTAGATAACATTTTTTGTTAATGAAGTTCATAACAAATCATTATTAAGAAAATAAATATCTAGCAGTTTAAGTCCATGTTGTTGGGAACCTGGGAAAGAAGCGAGGAGAATAATTAATTTTGCAATAATTTTATCTGTTCTCCTTACCTACTAGCCAGAATATTGCTGATAATATTATTGCAACTTTTCTCTGGGAGATAATGTTATTTTTTTGTATTGCTGCAGGTGGTGGGTTACATAGGTCGAGCAGTTGTGGTGGTGTCATGTGTGACCAAAGATAGCCCGTACCGCCCTCATCCCCACAGCCTAGTGGGTAAAGAGGGCTGCAAGAGAGGGGTATGCACTCTGGAACTTTCTGATGACATGACAGCAACTTTCTCCAATCTGGGTATCCAGTGTGTAAAGAAGAGGGACATTGATGAAGCCTTGCGTGTTCGTGAAGAAATTCGTGTGGACCCATTTCGAAGTGAGTATAATTTTGCGGTCGTAAAGAAAATAACAAATAAACATAGGAACAAGGGTATCGAATTATATTTGTGCTAAGGCAAAAACATGATTAAATTTGCAGGTCATTAATGAATTTAATTTGTGGTAATATTCAATTCATAATTAGTACTAAACACTTATTAAGTTTTATTTAATAATAACGATTTTTTGTGACAATTCACAAAAACAGAAAGTTTACAATTTTTAGTTAACTTGAAATCTTAAATTTATTTATTTATTTCCTTTTAGAAAATGAATTGGAATTGTAAAACATTTTAAAGAACTTTTGTATTTAAATGCAGATTTTATCCATGAAGTAATTATTTGCAAGTTTTGGTTTACTGTGTGCACACTTAAAAATGTTGGTATAACAATTCTCATATATGGAGGTGGTTCCATTTGTTTCTGACCTGACCGAGAGAACTCAAGGATGCTTTGTGTAAAGCTCTCAAAATTTTCTCAAAAATGGCCCCAGGTTTTTTCTTTAAATTTGATGCTTGAATAACATGTATGTGCATACAAAAGGTACAGGCATGATTTTTTCAGAAAAAACACTGATATTTTAGAAATTGCGACAGTTAAAAATTATTTCAATCCCCTCCTTTACTTTTTTCAAAATATTAGTTTTCATGTACTTTTGAGTTATTTGCAACGAGTTTAAATAATTTCCCAATCTGTGCTACACCTTTAACATTGAAGTTGGAGGTTCCTTGCTGGCCTTCATTCCTCAATATTAGGTCTTTAAATTATTACATGTATACTTCTTCCAATACTATAGTTATATTTTGAGTTGTCAATTGAGCTGAAGTGTTAATAGAATATAAGTTGCAATATTATAATGAGAGATAACCATTACCAATAAAACAAAGCTAGTGCTGTTGTAGCATCCCTTGTTTTTGTTTGTGTTTGCAGCTGGTTTTGCTCACCGTAATCAGCCAGGGAACATAGACTTAAATGCTGTGCGACTGTGCTTTCAAGTGTTCCTGGAAGGCAGTGAGAAGGGAAAGTTTACTTTCCAGCTCACACCAGTAGTGTCAGACCCTATATATGATAAAAGTAAGCAAAATTAATATTTTTGTAAATCATAACATTTAGATTTTGCCTCACACTTAAGTTTTTTTTGCTATTGAAATTTGTATAGATCGTTTTTCTGAGAGAAATTTTAAGTAAAGTAAAAATACCTATTTGTTAGTATGATAATCCATAATAATTTCAATAATAAATATTGGATACTAATATGCATTACAGAGGCTATGTCTGACTTGGTGATTTGCAAGATGAGTGACTGCAGTGCCAGTGTTGCTGGTGGCAAAGAAATAATTTTACTTTGTGAAAAAGTAGCTAAAGGTGAGAAAATATAAGTTTTAGACGTAATTATAAATTGATATTTGAATTTTCATGCAATTTTTTATTTTTGTAGTGTTTGTTTAGTTTATGGTAACTCCAAAATCAAAATCAGGCGCAACTATTCCACCCCATTACATTTTTAAACATATTGGAAAGAGTAACTTGTTACCTTTTAAATAAATACTTAAGGAAATAAAAAGAATTCTCATGTTAATTTCCAATTCACTTCAATTCAATTGGAGTAAATAATGAAAGTACTTGCCTAGCATAACATTTTTCTACTGTACTATACTTTGCACATTTCTGCATTTTACATTTGTTTTCATCGATCCCCTGAAAAGTTTAAAAAAAGAAGGGGAGGGTACTGTAATTATGTTAGATCCTGGTCACCCTCCATTGAAAGTTGAGATTTCTCTTCAGCCCAACTATATGCAACTTAAAATGGCAGACTATTTGGCAATAAACAATGCTTTGTCAAATATTGATTGGAAATTTTTGTAGGATTTATATCAATGTGCATTTGACATGTAAAGCTTTTTATGGAAAGTTAAATTCTATTGTCCGATTTTCTTTAGAATGGGATGATTTGACAGCTAGTGCAGCAACACAACTGACGATTCCGTGGTCGTTGTGTCCTTGAACTTATTAGACTCCCCTTCCTCCATTCGTTCGTTTGCAGTTGGCTAACTTGTAAATAGTTACGACGCTCCCTGGCTGTGATGTCCTCGTCCGACGAAAATATAGTGCGCCACAAGAAATAATTGAATTTAGGAAGTGCAGAGCTTTGTGCTCTTCTGTAAAAATTCTTTCTTTTTATAAAAATTAGATTGCATTTAGTTTTTGTGACAAGTATTGTGTTTGTTTTAAAATCGAGTCTTGAATGTGAGATGCGTACTCGTGACGGTGCATGTGTTTACATCTCTGAAGTACACGTGATGTTCACTTGTTTTGTGAACTGTCACTTTATCCCATTCTTAAGAAAATCGTTCTATATAATCAGCAGTTGTATACCTGTTATAACAGTGGGTCCATCAATGTATCCACCTGAGTCAGTAGAAATATAATTAACTGAAAGTTAAAAAAATAACTTAAATTGAAGGACAACATCTGAAAACGGTACAAATCAAATAATCTACATATTATCTTGAACAATTCAAATTACTTAGTAATAACATTAAATCTGACATACCTTCGGAATATGATTCTTATTATGGATGGATTAATAATGATGTTGCTTCTAACCCTACCAAATTCTGGTCAGATGTTAATATGCATAAAGGTATATCTTGTATTTGAAAGTGTGTGAACTATCTGAATTATGTGTCTTCTAAACCGTAGCTGATTCTACAGATATGCCTCATTTTTGTGAAAGCACTCTTTTCTGACATACTATTGTGTTACAGTAATAATGTTTTTAAGGATTTTTCGGGGATTGATCCTAAACCTCAGTTGTCTGATATAGTAAACTTTGGTAAGCATTCATCTAACAAATATACAGCTGAATTTGATGGGATCCCATCTATCTTTATTTAAAAATGGTCAAGCAACTATTGCTGAGCCCATTCAAATCATTTGCAAATTATCTATTGCTGGTGGAACTTTTCCTGTGGAGTGGAAGAGAACAAAGATTGTCCAGTAATCAAGAGGGGGGATACACATGAAATTGAAAATTATAGATAAATAGCAATTCTCTAATTTTTCTGAAATATTTGAAAATTACATTTACTCATTTATAGCATCCGGTGGCAGAGATCGTTAAGGCAGTAGTGCCGTAGTGATCTCGAACCAAAGGATCGCGGGTTCGAGTTTCACCTCGGGCATGGTTGTGTTGTGTTCGTCCTTTCACCCCCTATTCATAACATCATCCTCCATCTCTCATTATCACCTTTCTGAATAACATTCAGAATTGTAACTCGAGGATTTATCCTCACCTCAAAACACCTTCGACAGTCGACCATGAACTAGTGAAGTGGAACGACTCAAGTGGTCCAATGTGGCCAATCAAGTTAATAATAATAGCATCTTAAAACTTTGACACAGTTTGAGTTTGGCTTCATCAAGAATTGAGCAACTGTGTCAAATTTATTAGAATGTATTCAGTTTATCATCAGTTATGATTAGTTTACCAATATCAGATCAATCACTTTATCAATATCAAATCATCAGTTTATCAATAGTTATATTAATGAATACAACCAGATTGATGTAATTTATACTGATTTCAGTAAGGCATTTGACACTTATCAGGAGGTTTTGTTATGTAAACTTTCTCTTTTGGGCTTCTCGTAATTTTATCCAGTTGATTCGTATCTTCAGAATCATTGTAATTATTTCTTATGCAGGTTATTATTCTTTATATCCACCATTCATTTTATCCACCTTCTGGTGTTCCTCAGGGCTTCAATCTTGAATCTTCTATCTTCATTTGCTATTGCTATAAATGATATTCCTGCAAACATACACTGTCACATCATAATTTAGGTAGATGATATGAAACCCTTTGCTTAATTTAATAAATGCAGTGACTTGTGTTCTTCAGCCAAATCTTGGTTTTCAAGACTGTTGTATTGTAAATAAAGTTAAACTTACCTTAACTAAATGTGAAATGTCATTCCTTAGATTGCAGATTGTCCCCTTTGATTGTTACTAGAGACCAGAAAAATATGTAGTACGAAACATCAAAATATGTAATATATATGTAAAATAAGTTATAATATGCAATATTAAAATACACTAATTAAAAAACATATTTACCTAATTCGAAATTACGTTTATCAAAAATTTCTTAAACAAATTTTAAAATTTATACAAACGTTTTGAAAATTGGAGAGCACAAGTTGATGCAAATTTTTCACCAATGATACAACTTTCCCAGCAGTAATAAAAGATTCATCTTTTGCTATCCAGAATTGTAATTTAGCAGCCAGACTAGATGCAATACAAGCCCTCGTACAAACTGGCTATATCTACGACCAGTAAACAATCCCTGTAGCGTGCACAGATGTACTTTGGTCTTCTGATGTAATTAAATGTAAGAAAGCATTGGAGGCCTGTCAGAGAAAATTTGTTAAGTATTTGGAGTTCTGTCAGACTGGATGTTATCCCCCGCAGGGAATTGAAAATTTGAAACCTTATATTCTCCACGTGGACTTGTGTGAGAAATTTAATGTTGCTAGCCTTGTCTAGAAGATGAATCCATTTACCTTCAAGATTGTTAGTGGTCTGGTTGATTGTATTGACCTTAATGCTTCCATTCTTTGGGCTGTAACTCAGTTTAATACTCGCATACACACATTTTTATGTCATCCCAACAAATCGTAAATTTCATTACAAACCAAAATTGTCAAAGATATACCTTATGAACACTACCTTGTGTTCAAACATGGGAATTGATGTGTTCACTGATTCTGTCTCAAACTTATTGCAACACTAAATCCTGTAATCATGTAATTGGGTTCACACTGTTGGATTTATTGTAATTAAAATAAATAAAATTTAATAGAATAGGAACCAAGACTTAAAGACATGCTGTGTGGGAAAACATGGTAACAGGGATTGTGCTAATGAAACTCCAAATGTAGCCGTTTCAATATATTTCTGAATATTTTTGCATCTGGTTTAATTCAACTTGATTCTAAGACTTTTTAAGTCACATTTGTTAAAAAGAATTAAAAGTGTAATTATTTTGTTAATAAATTTTGCATCAGTTGGAAGTTACTGTTTTTCCAAAAATATCTAAGAAGTGTCAGTGTTGGCAAAAGAATGAAAAACTCTTCAGTAAAGATGTAACAAGAAAATAATCAATGTGATTGTTTTGATTTCATTTTCCCTTGTTCTTTGCAGAAGATATCCAAGTTCGCTTCTTTGAGCAAGATCATGGTGGACGCACTTTGTGGGAAGCTCAAGGGGACTTCACACCAGCCCATGTACATAAGCAGGTCGCAATTTCACTTCGTACACCTCGCTATCGCACGCTGGATGTTCCTCAGCCAGTGGATGCCTGCATCCAACTTCGCAGACCTTCAGACGGTGCATCCAGTGAACCACTACCATTCCAGCTGCTTCCTTTGGACTCAGGTAGGAGCTGGTTGCGTCGAAAAGCCAAAGGGGACTATACCACCTTCTCCAGCATTCTAGCGTCCAATACAGCTCTTCTGACAGGTGGTGCTGCAATGGCAGTGGACTCTGTAGACCGAACCAGGTCTTTCCTCGCAATGAATCCTCCTCCACTCTTAGCTCAGGTGCCCCCTGTAGTTTCTGCATCCACTGATCGTAAGATAGAACCCGCTAAAGTAGTTACTGGTAGTGGAATACCATCTGCCCCCGTTTCTGGAGTCGTAGAGTCTAAAGTTTCAGAAGGAGAAAAGCCAATGACTGCATCTGTCCCTTCTCCTGAAGAAGTGAAGCAAGTTGAGGTTGTGAAGATAGAAACTGTATCCAATAAAGATGAGAATGCAAACAATATGAATAATTCTACTTTGGTGGAAGAAGTGACAATGGATCAAGATAAAAAGCAAAACTATGATTATGCTGATGTGCACAAAGAGAAATCATTGCCAACTGATAAATTCACTGAGAATTTGTTGGAACAATTAAAGAATGAAGAAAACTTACGAAACAATGATGTTACAGAAGCTTGTCAGTCTATCAATGAACTGTTATCTCAAGTTACAGGTTTTGAAACTGGTTTGGGTGTTAGTGATGCAATGGAGGTGGATGATTTTTATGACGATCAAACTTACTCTAGCCTACAGTTGGCCATGAAAAATCCTATTCAGTTATTGGACGACTTGACATCAGAGAAATATGAAGATGTAATGACTGTTCCTTACAATGCACAATCCCCTCTCATCTCTATTGTCCCGTCTGCAGAGTCGACTGTTGGAAACAAGAGAACTCCACCTCCCACTCCCCCAACTCCAGACTCCAAGTTGCCTCCACTGCCTCCAAAGAGATTCAGAAAGGATCCTCCTGCCCCTCCGGCACGACCCGAAGCTCCTCCTAACAAAACTCTTCCACCTCCTCCAGCTGCCCCGCAGCAGGCAGATGCCACTCCGAAACAATCCAGCAAGTCCCCAGGTATTTTCTCAAAGCTCTTTTCCAAGAAGTCGTCAAAGTCTAAGAAAGATTCCACTCCAAGGGGTAGCATTTCTGAAGCATCACAACAACCTTCTCAATCGGCTACCCCGCGCGGTAGCATTTCTGAACCAGTTCCACCCCCACCAACTGCTGATTTAACAGAAGCTGAGCATTATGCTTTGTATACAGATATGGCCCCTAAGGCCACTGCCTCAGAATTTGACGAATCTTCTTTCTACTACAGTCCAGTTGAAGGTGGAAATATTATTAATCCTCAAAACCAAGGCCTAAAGCAGATGTCAGGAAGTCAGCAAGACGTCTTGACATAAATTACATATCATTGTGAATTATTATTTAATGCTCTGGTAGCCAGTCAATGCACAAGTAATTATAGTTCTGTAATGTGGTTGTCGTGATAGTGTTGTTAAATTTGGATGAAATGTGACAATTGTAGTGATGCATATAAGCCGTGCAGTATTATTGCAGAGTGAATATTCTCAGTGTGCATGTTATCTGAATAAAATTAACAAGTTATTTCTTTGCTCAAAATTAGCATGATTAATTATTAAAATTAATATTTATCTGTTTAAGTATTTCTCTGCTAACTGATGTTAATATTTTCATATACTAATTATTACAAAAGAACTCTCTCCACTGGTTTGAATGAGACACGCATTTCTAATTACTCTTTCTTAAACAGTAGTTGTTTTTTCTTCAGAAAATACCTTTTCACTATAATGTATGCTTTTCTGGATTTTCTTTACTTAATTCAAGCACAACAAAATTCAATGCAAATGGTTTCTCAGAAAGAAATAATTCTTTGCTTCCAAATATCAATATTGGGGTGAACAAACTATTCTGAGAAAACCGGTAACGTTAAAGTATTAATGCATTCAGAGCCTAATGTAAATGTAATTAGTGTTGGAGCAAAGCTAAACAAAAGAGCAAGTGTACATGTGTAATTTAGTTAATTATCTGTTAAAAATACTTAAAGTACGTCCTGTTTAAGCTCATCTTACAGAACATTGTATAATTTATTTATTGTTTTTTATCGACTAATCAGGAGAAAGGATTTTATAAAATGTAGAATCTAGTTTGTCATTGATCACACAAAGATGAAATGAGAACTTGTGAAAAAAAAAAAATGTTCCCTACATCAGTGTTCTGTAATTTTTTAAGGGAACAAATTAATTAGGCAATAAATTGGTTTTCTGGACAACAAATTGTGATGCATCAGTATCTTAAGTGTTAGACCGTAATATGAAGTAGTACCACAGGAGTAATTGAAATGTAAACAGTTATTTCTTTATAAATTTTCAAAAGGTATGAGGAAACCTACATGAGTTACTTTAGCTTCCTTGAACTTCTCAGTGATGCATCTTCAAAAATATTAACAATTGATGCCAGTTGAGTATTAGTAGATTGTGAGGAGAAAGACAGGGACCAAAGATTTTGCAGCATTTTAAAATTTTGCTTTGCTTACTTATAACCCACAAAAAATAGGCAAAACAAATAATGTAACTTGTATAGGACACAAACTAAAAAACTGTTCATAGGAATTCTTTATCAAATTAAGAGATAGAAAACTGACATGCCCAGGATTTAAATTTGTATAATCTATGCATGTTATGTTGCATGTTATTTACTGAATAGCATTTTTAATTTTGTTAGAACCCAAATTTCTAATGAACATTTACAAAGACAATTAGTTAAGTGTTTTTTCTTGCTTATTTAAAATCTAATATTACAGTGCTTGAAACCTGTTGATATGTTTGTTTAGTTTTCTAAAACTCCCTGAATTCTGTCTTTTTTCATAAATCTTGAAGATGAGGACCAGAAAGATAGGCATGAAAATAGTTGCACTTTTGTTGGCCTATTCTTACAACTTGGCAGGACCTATAAAACATTTAAATTGTAGAGTTGATAATATTTTAATGCCTAAATTAATTTTAAACACCATTATTCTACACTTCACGCCATTTTTGGTGTGTTGAAAAAGTTGTTGCTCTAAGGACTGTAAACAATAAGCCTTTGTTGGCTGCCTATGACAATATTAACGGAATATTTATTGTAACTTGGACTAGGTGTGTATGATTATTAATATTTTACACATAATTCAGCTTCAGCCTATGTAAATGAATGCTAATGATGCTTTGGTGGAGATTTTAAATGCCTACATGCAAAACTATTATTGCATATGTGAGAAATAAGTTTACCAGTTACAACATAAACAGGATTTTCCAAAAACTATGGTGATTCTTGTGCATTGACTTGTTTACCATTTAACTGAATGTGTATATGAGGTTTCACTAGAGCTTTTGATGCTCAAAAAATATTTATATTTGGTGTGATTGGTGTCTCCATAGCGCACAGAACATGGGTCAGGTTGTAAGTGACTTGTGCCATGTGATATGGCATGATACCCCGTCCTGCGATTATTTTTTTTATAATTTCAGCATTTGTTAAATACTTTATTTTCTCCTGAATATTGAAACTATATTGAGAAGTCTGAGGGTTATCTAGTCAATTGGTGCTGTTTTATTTTATTTATTTTATTTTAATTATGTACATCACACCTTTGAGATTATGGACAAGAACGTGAAGACTGGGTGGATCAGGTGGAGTAATACGTATAATATAAGCCTATGTCCATTTTGTCTAGCTTGCTTGGTACACAGAGACTAGTTAGTCTGGAGGTCGTATGGTAAATATTTAGCAACACTTGTGCAGTATAGCACTGAATCATTTCCCTAAACGAAGGGTACTCAATAAAAGATTTTGTGATGGTTGTGTTTGTGGAGTTAAAATTTTTGTAGGTCTTTTTGACATTGCATTACTGTACTTATGAATGTTAATTGAATTCATAATCTTGAATGGTCTAGGCCATAAAGTAAGAGACGTTTCAATTGATATAGGATATTTCTCCAAAATTAATATTTAGGAATAATAACTTTTTTAAGTTCATTTATTTATCTTTTCTGAATAATTTCTGTAGCGCAGCAAATTCAGACTTGGTCTAAATATTTTCAAAAACATGGTCTGAAATTTTGGTGGATAAATGGTTACCATTCATGATGTGCAAAATTTAACAATTTTTCTATTATTTACATAGGGAGGAAAATAGTTTATTTGCCGGATAGTATTTCCTCTCATTTGGTTTTACTCCACACCAGGCCCTGGAAAGAGATTGCTACAGCACTTGATGTAATGAACCGTGTGAAACTTACCAAAAAAAATGAATGTTTGATCACAGCTTTTGGAGTCATCAAGGTGCCTTTGTAAGTGTATAGCGTTAAATGAAACGACAAGTTTTGTATTTGGGAATGTGATTTTTGTATCAAGGATATAATATATTTCGTATTACAGGATGTTGCGTTTGATGCTTAGTTTATATTGTTCCAGATTTATAAAAAAATATAAAATTGTAATTTTTCTAATCATATAAAATTTGTATTTGTAAGTTTATGAAAAAGTAGTTTGGCAATTTTTGATAGGAAATTAATGATTTTTTATTATAGAAGGCTGTTTTTTAAAAGCTGAGAGCTTTTGTATTATGTGAAATACATCACACAAATCTCGTAACTTTACAGCACTAAGTGCTTTGACAGATTGTGTATTTATATAACTCTGCAAGTGAGAGAAAATGTAAAATTCTCTGCTTGGTGTGAAGATGAACTGTAGAAAAGTGTATAATCATGTGTATTTTTAAAACTTATAATGGAGTTATAGATCCCATGTAACTCCAGGTGTATTTGCTTCAATATTTAATGTTGATTTGATGCTTAGCTTACTGTACATGTGTCTTGTAGTGCAAGGAATGAAATGTTTCTCACCTGCTGGCAGGAAGACAGTTCTCATGTTTTTGTTATGACTGTTAGCTAGTCAGTTAAGGATCTTAACATTTTTTGTTTGACGCCTGTGTTAAGGGATTGGACTACATATTAGCCGATTTTATTTTAAATTATTGACAAGGTTAAAAAATATCAATAGGTCTGTGTAACAGCATTGAAAGGTCTTGGTTGACTCATGCTGTAATTCTTGGTTCTTTTCTTCTCTCAAAGAAAGAATCTCTGAATGAAGGAACACTTCATCTTGTAAGTGCATAAAACAGTCTGAATGGAAGATCATTACCCAAGATTCCTGTTGTGTTTTCCTGTTTACTTCACAAACTTCTCTCATTCAGCCATTTGATAAAGTCTGTTGATCCCCCCAGTCTGTTTTTATATAAATTCATATTTTCTTTTTTGTGAAACTTTCCGTTACCCTTGATTAGTATTTTTTTTCCATTTAGATAATGTTAAACTTTGTAAATATTTCATCATTGGAAAGTCAAAATGGAGTAAACCTCTCCAAAATGATGAATTCCTAATTTAAATGATTTCATACAGTCTATTGTTACTTCGTCACCCTGTCAAATAAAACTGATGAATTTTTATCAATTTCTAGTCACTTAAACTCCGATCAACCAAAGTGACATCAGTAGTATATTGAAAACAAATGTGCAGTGTTTTCATGCTCAAAATAAGATTAATGAAAAGGCATGGAAATGTACAAGGTGCTTCAAACATAACCCTTACCGTAGTTCACCTTTCAGTATTGAAACCTTCTTTGTGGAATACTGAGTAGTCATGTTACAATACTCTTTTCTTTTTAAGAATAGTAATTTTTATTACTTGCTTAACTGTACTGAACTCTTCTATGAGTTAGAGATTACACAGAGCAATAAGTAAGCTAGTGAAATATTTGCTCCTGTAGAAATATTGCAAGGACAATATGTAGAAATGAGGTGTTTTTTTTCCCTCCCTAGTGCAATTGGAGACTTCCCCTTTTATTCTGTTATTTATTATTTCCCATTTATTTTTTATATTTTTATTTTTATCACTTACATATAGTTTTACTTATTTTTTACTTTTAATTTTTTCAGATAATTTTCACAAATTATTTTCCTAGATAGTGATTAAGATGGTAAAATTTTTTCTTGATGTAGTATTGTTGCATACACTGTAACAATATCTGCACCATACAGTATCTGAATTTCATATTAATTTTGATATTCTTAAGAAATTGCTTTTGCATATTATATTAGATGTTATGATATTTATATTGAATTTTTGGGCTATCTTAAACATTTCATCCCTTGTCATCCATTGCATGAGTTTTGCACAATGAAGGGCATTTTTGTCATATTGAGAGAGAATGCTATTAGAACTCTGAGAGTTTTATATGGCAATACTATATACAATTCTAAAGTAAAAGATATTGTTATCTGAAATATGAGGTTTTTATGGGGATGTTTTTAAACTTTTGTAATGATACTGTTAAAATGTTTGGAACAATGCCTTCATGCTGGGGCTATGTGAGTTTGGCACTTGAGAGGTTTTTAAAGTATGTTGCATTGAAATTATTTCCTCAAGATTATCAACTTTATTTTAGGACTGAATATTACTCAAACTTTCCAATGCTGAGTACTTTCTTGTAATTTTTATTTTGTAGGAAGACGACCTCAATGAAGTTTGATACATTGATTTATCTGTCTTGAAGTTTCCTTCTTCCATAAATGAAAAAAGATATTTTGGTGTGAAGTATTATTGACACATTTTTGTCAAATTTCTAAAGATGTCTTCTTTCAGAAAATCTTAAATGTTTCAAGATTGATTTGGTTTTCTTGTTTGTT